CAGGAACCTGTAATCCCAGCTACTCAGGAGGCTGAGGCAGGAGAATTGCTTGAACCCAGGAGGTGGAGGTTGCAGTGAGCTGAGATTGCACCATTGCACCTCAGCCTGGACAACAAGAGCAAAACTGTCTCAAAAAAAAAAAAAAAAAAGAAAGAAAGAAAGCATATTTTTAATTTATTGAATTATGTAGTCTTCTCCAGTGTTGACTAAACGGGTAAAAATACAGTAGCATAATTATGAATTATTCATAAATCAAATAAGTACATTCATAGCACTGGGCTAAGATATGACATTAAAGAAAGTGCCAATGTCTAATAAGATTCATATGATACAAAAGGGAAGGAGGACAACCCCATATGCCTGATATCTAACTAGTAACTAGTTCTCACTGAACATTTAATTTTTGTCTTTGCTGCATCCTGGTTATTCTCTGCCCACCCCTTCAACTGTCTGACTTTGTGTGCCCTGCTCTGTGCTTGGGAGGCTGACCCCACAGATGTATGGCTTGGACTTTCGTGCTGGCCTGAGTTCCTGCTGCACTTGGTTAAAAGGGTGAAACGGGGGAAAGGGTACGATGTTTCTTCTCTGCTTCCTATCTGGGGCATCTCTCTGGCTGCCCTGACAATGCCCACTCTCTATAATGGCCTTCATGAAAGTCGCTCGATTGAACCAGCTGAGTGGGACCACGTTTTCTGCCAGGACTCTGAGTCAGGCCCAGCTGTGACATTTGTAGGGGCCAGTGTAAGAACATGATTAGAGGCCTCTATATTATATTCTAAGGATTTTAAAGTTATTTGAAATCTGGCTAACAAACTGTTAACTAAAATATATTATGCCTTCGTAATGTGAAAAATATCCCTTTGTAATGAATGATCTAGAAGACCAGCACACACAGAGGCTTCTCAGACGTTTTCAGAGTTCCATGTAGGAACAGGGTGGCCCAGGGTGAACTGGCCCTCAGCCTTTGGTGCCCAGCTGGAGCCCACCCCCATTCTGCTCTACCCTTTGCACCACCCTACTCAGAAAGGGTCATTTACATGTGGGTGTAGAGCACCCCCATCCTGCGATTCCAAGGTCCAGCCAGACCCTCTATAAGGAGTCGCCCCTTGGCTCCTTCCTTGGTCTACAGGTGAGCACACTGGGCACCGTCCACCCTCGGGAGAAGGTGACTGAGGAAGAGGATCATCTAGGCCCTCACTGGACATGAGCCCAGAACTGTCTGGGCTGGGAATTGCAGGGATCCAGGTGGGCAGAGTTCAGTCTAGAAGGAAGGAGATGTGGTGAGCTCCCAGTGGGCATCTCCCACCTGGCGCTGAGGTCTCCTTTCTTCTTAGGGCGGGGCACGGCCCAGAGCCCGGCGAGCTCTCTGAAGTACAAGGCCCTAGGCAGGGGCTCCCTTACAAGAATGTAAGCCTTTTCCTCACAGAGCTTACCACTTTATTCAAAAGGAGATCCGTGCATAAAAAGGGCTGTAGAATATTCTGAAGCATTACACATTGTTGTACACAGATTTGAGTTTGTAAAGATGGTAGATTCATATTTCTTAAGCAAATTAAACTCACCTTGTTCAGTCGAATGAACCACTTTTGACAACATGGACCGGAGAACAGAGAATGGCACAACAGCGAAAAGGAAAGGCGCCCTGGCTGTGAGAGAAAGGGTTCAACATCACTGGCGTGTTCTGAAAGCCGACGGCCAATTTAAAACAGGAAACACTTTCACGCTGCCTAAATGTTTCCTTTTCTACAAGCATCCTAACTCATTGTATCTAAAAATGGAACGAATTAATTGTAGAACTCTGTTTGATGAACTAAAGTAGACTATGGACAGGTCAGTTTAAGGCTAATTCACTCGAGAGTTCCTATTCCAGTACAAACAACAAGAGATCAGGTAGTTTTTAGGTCTAGATCTATTTATATAATCTGCCGATTAAGACTGATCTGCTGGCCGGGCTCAGTGGCTCATGCCTGTAATCCCAGCACTTTGGGAGGCCGCGGCAGTCGGATCACCTGAGTTCAGGAATTCGAGACCAGCCTCACTAACATGGAGAAACCCTGTCTCTACTAAAAATACAAAATTAGACAGGCGTGGTGGCACATGCCTGTAATCCCAGCTACTCGGGAGGCTGAGGCAGGAGGATCGCTTGAACCTGGGAGGCAGAGGTTGCAGTGAGCCCAGATCGCACCACTGCACTCCAGCCTAGCGACAGAGTGAGACTCCGTCTTAAAAAAAAAAAAAAAAAAAAGACTGGTCTGCTTATTTTCCTAATTATGTATTAACCTCTTATTTAGCAAATTGTGACTGCGAATTCGTTTTTGTTTGTGCTTTTTTCAGACTTGGCACTCTTAGTGTTAGCATGCCTTTATTATATTGATTCATTTATTGGTAAACTGGTTCTTTATCATCTTGCCTGTTCATCTTTGTGGCAGAATAACTTCATAAACACAAATTACCTCTGGTCTTCAGTTATGACCCTTAATAGTCAGTAGTTTTAATTACATCATAAAATAGTAAAATATGACATTAGCAGATCACTTTACAGTTCTCAAAGCGTTTTCACATAGGTTAACTTACTTGGCCTTGGCAGCTCTTAGGGAGACAGGGAGAAAAACTGGCCATTATTGAATGGTAGGGATTGTGCTAAGCGAGTGCTTGACAGCTACCTAATATTCACTGTAATCCTCTAAATTCGGTAGTACCATGCCCATTTTACAGATGAGAAAATTAGGGCTGAGAGTAGTTCAGTAACTTTTCTAAGACCATCTAGGACTATAGAGGGAAGTTGGGCCCAATTCTGTTTGGTCACACTGCTTCCCTGCAAAATAATAAGGGGTTAACACCTTTATTAGAGAAAAGAGTAAACTGGACCTTTCCCAGAGTCTCATTTTATAGTTCCATAGCCTTTTCCAATGCAGTATCTCATTCAAATCCTGCAAAAACCGTTATGAGGTAGGTAGTTAAGGAAGCAGGCTAATTTGCCAACCAGCAATTCATCAAAAATCAATTTATGAAATGGCCAATTTGCTGAAAGATCAATTTGCAAAACCTGTCTTTAAAAAATTTCTTCTTGAATATATTAAATTGACATAGTTTTTTGTCTTGTATTTTTAGTATACTTTATATCATTGTCCTAAATATTTTTATGGAAAGTAGTCTTCTTAGTAGCATTTTAAGAAATGTTCACTTTAATGAAAGCTATGTTGAAGAACGGACTCATAACAAGAACATTCCTGAAAACAATTTTGTGGCAAATATACAAATTTGGGAAATGCGGTTATTCAGTGAATTAAATTTTTAAAAGCAAATTTGGCTTTCAGCTTATTGACTCCTGGCAAACTAGCTATTGCCCTTTAATTGAACTAGAATGGCTTAAATAGAGGGCTTTATATTAAAGTTTTTCCCCCAGTAGACAATAATCATTTTATATGAATATCAAATACATAGTTCTAAAGCTACACTTGGAACTCACCTAAAAACATCATCAGTGTTGTCTTGGCGAACGCGGTCATAGCCATTCCTGTCATCGTGGTAAAAATCCCAATGAAGGCCATATGAATATCTTCCATACAATAAGAAAAAAGCCATATTCCTAGGAAACTAGTCAAAAAAGAGGCACTATTCAAAGCTGATCCATAACCTATGAAAACTTCATTCCAGCAGAGTGGGGAATCCAATTCATAAAGGATAAAAATTGGGCCAATGCCAATTACCACAAAAAAATAAGTGATCATTGTAAAAAGTAACAAACAGAGTAAAAATCGTCTCTTACTGGAAGCATTTTTAAAAAGCATGTAAGTTCGGTAAAATAGGTTTTTGAAGCCTTCACTACATGACATAGTAACATTCTGAGATGAAAACTCTTTCACTGGATCACCAAGAAAAAATAAAATATAGATGAAATTAACAGCAAGAGAAACAGCAATAATTAGAAACGACCACCCAAAACCTAGCCCTCTAATAAAATAGCCAGATAACAGTCCTGTTAGTCCAGTAACAAGTCCAACTAGAAAGTCAATGATAGCTATTCGAATTGTTTTTTGTTTGTGTTCTTTACACTGATCAACTATATAAGCAAAGCAGGCTCCCCAAAATGTGGTATAATTGCCACAAAATGCACCAACGAAGGTAGATACAATCAAAAGCTGGAATGGAAAGGCAAAATAACAAAGCAAACAGAGCCAAACGCTGGTTGCAAGAACACCAACGGAAGACAAAATCATAGGGAATTTTCGCCCGTAGTGATCACTAATAGACAGAAGTATGAATGTAGACACCAGACCAGGAATTAATCCACTTATGTCCATCTGCAGATTAAAACGTGACACTTTTTTCTGAACTTCCTGCAAAGAAATAAAAAAGAAATGTGTTTACAATAGTTTAAACAATGTGCATACAAGTATCATGGTGCATGCTTTTTGCCCTGTGGCCAATAGGTTATGGATGAGGAATCTCTAGTGCATGGGCAGGACTAATACAGCTTACATTTTCATCCAGTTTACAAAGCAATACAGACTGAGTATCCCTTATCTGAAATGCTTGACACCAGAAGTGTTTCGGATTTTGGATTTTTTCAGACTTTGGGATATAATGAGATACCTTGTGGATGGGACTCACATTTAAACACAACATTCATTTATGTTTCATATGTACCTCATACATATAGCCTGAAGGTAATTTTATACAATATTTTAAACAATTTGTGCATAAAACAGTTGCCATTGAGTACTTGTGTGTGGAATTTTACACTTCTGGTAAAATGTGGTGATCAAAAAGCTTCAGATTTTGGCCGGGCGTGGTGGCTCATGCGTGTAATCTTCATATTTTGGGAGGCCGAGGCAGGAGGATCACTTGAGGTCAGGAGTTTGAGACCAGCTTGGCCAACATGGTAAAACTCTTATCTCTACCAAAAAATAAAAATAAAATAAAATAATTAGCCTTTATTTAGGGAGAGCTTGGCTGTTTCTCTTTTTTTTTTAAACCTATGTCTTCACAGATAGATTAATGAGAAACATATTCCTTTATTTACTAAATAAAAGAACATTTAGAATAAGATAAAATTGAAAGAGGAGCCTTACATTGTCTACAGATGGTAGCATGCCATGGCTGAGTGTAGCGGCTTACGCTTATAATCCCAGCACTGTGGGAGGCCGAGGTGGGAGCTTCGCTTGTGCCCAGGAATTTGAGACCAGCCTGGGCAACATAGTGAGACCCTGTCTCTAAAAATAAATTAAAAAAAAAAAAAAAGGCCAGGCACGGTGGTTCATGCCTGTAATCCCAGCACTTTGGGAGGCTGAGGTGGGCGGATCACTTGAGGTCAGGAGTTTGAGACCAGCCTGGCCAACATGGCAAAACCCCTGTCTCTATTGAAAATACAAAAATTAGCCAGGCATGGTGGCTTGTGCCTGTAGTCTCAGCTATTTGGGAGGCTGAGGCAGAAGAATTGCTTGAACCCGGGAGGCAGAGGTTGCAGTGAGCTGAGATTGTGCCATTGCACTCCAGCCTGGGTGACAGAGTGAGACTCCATCTCAAATAAATAAAAATAAAAAGTAAATAAAGGTGGTAGTATGTCATGACCTGAGGAGTAAGATAAATTCAACTTCCAAGGACCAAAATGACAATGACAGATGACATACACACACAGATTGGAAGATGTGTCAATCATTACACTAGTTATTTGATGGAAGGAATTTTGCATGATCTTAAAACATTTTTTGCTTGCCATTTCTCTGTATTTTCCAAAGTCAATATAAAAAGTGTGTGCCATTTGTATACTGGGAAATGCTAAGCTGATTTAAAAAACAGATTTAAACCTTTTTTAGTCATTGAATGAATCACTGAAGGCAATGGTGGTGCCTCCTGGGAAACAAACATGTTCCTTTGTCCTAAGGAGCAAACGGAGCGTAGGCCGCCACTCCAGCGTGGGTGGCACTCCAGCGTGGGTGGCACTCCAGCATGGGTGGCAGGGTGAGGCTGGGGTGGTTTCTGGTTCCCGGAGGTCTAAGAGCACCAACTTTAAGGGAAGGGATCCAGAGTAGTAGGTTCTCTTGAATATTAATCCAATCAAGAAACAACAAATGAAAAAGTCAATTTGAAAATTTGGCAAAAATCGTTGACATGAGACCACTGCTCTGGGCAATAGAGGGCGCTCAGCAGCTGGGCCAGGCTGGAGGTGGCCAACACTTGCCACCTGTACGGTTGCAGAAGCCACCAAGCTGGCTGGACCAAGGCCTGTCTTCCCTCATTCCAAGAGGGCAAGAGCCGCGGACTTCCCCAGACATTGTAGTCCTCTCCTCCCAGGTCCCTCCCACTGCAACCAGGGGGCCTGCTCCTAGCGGTCAGCTGAAAGAAAGCACAGAATCAAATACAGAAATTGATGAGCCTATAAGGAGAGATTTGTTAAAGGATACAAAATTAAGCTAGACAGGAGGAGTAAGTTACAGTGTTCTGTAGCACCACAGGGTGACTGCAGTTAACAGTAATACATTATATAGTTTCAAAGACCAAGACGGAGGATATTGAATGTTCCCAACACAAAGAAATGAGAGATGTTTGAGCTGATGGATATGCTAATTAGCCTGATCTGATCACTATACATTGTATGTATCAAAACATCGCTGTATGCGCCATGAATATGTACAATGATTATTTGTCAGTTAAAAGAATAAAATAATGCCGGGCACGGTGGCTCACACCTGTAATCCCAACACTTTGAGAGGCCCAGGCAGGAGGCTCACTTGAGGCCAGTAGTTCAAAGCCAGCCTGGGAAACAGAGCAAGACACTGTCTCTACAAAAAAAAAAAAAAAAATTAAAAATTAGCTGAGTGTAGTGGCAAGGGCCTGTAGTCCCAGCTGCTCAGGAGGCTGAGGTGAGAGGATCCCTTGAGCCTAGAGTTCAAAGTTGCAGCGAGCTATCACCACACCACTCCACTCCAGCGTGGGCAGCAGAATGAGACCCTGTCTCAAAAAGTACCATACATGCATAAATACACAATAAACAAAAAACACTTCAGGTGATTCCAATGTCAAGGTTAAAAAACACTGTGTGAGAGGTTCCAGGATGGGACTCAAGTATGTATATTAACAAACGTCTCCAAAGCCGAAATCTGAAGAGCATCCCTACTGTAGGACCCCAATTTTGAAACTAAGAGGGTTTGTTCAACTCTATTCTGTTTATGTGTGTTTTTCTCAACCTGGAGAGGCTCTGGGCTTCTCAGGTGCAGAGCCATTTTGCCTATCCTTGTCACCACAGGATAATGCGTTCTATGACAGAACCTTGATGTCTTCCAGGCTGTTCAGAAATAATCACTTCCAAGAAAACATTTCCCATGGGAATGCGGAAATGAGTAAGATTAGGGGTTGTGCCAAACTGTCTAGCCTCACCCCAGCAAGGTTCCACCTGACACCTCGGGAAGTGCTAGAACCTTGCCTCTCGGGTGATTTGCCATTTCCTCCTTCTCAGGCTCTTCTCCCGGTCACAGGGACTCTCAGAGCCAGCAGGAGGTGACTCAATTCCTTTTAACTGATGATCTTTCACTGGGAAGGCAGCACCACTCCTTTACAATCACAAAATAGCCCCAAGAAGAAGAGTTTAGAGTTTACAGGTGTGATTTGTTTCTGAGGCACTGTAGAAAAAAAAAAAACCATTTCCAAACCTGGATTCTATCTCTTTGCATTTTGAAATGATAGACTTTTGTCAAAAACTGCCCAAGGGACCAGGAGAATGGTGAAGTGCATCCTGTTTTACACACAAAAAATTGGGGAGGTGGCTGGAGAGGGAAGAAGAAAGCCTCCTTAATATCTGGCTAAACATTTTTGGTGTCAACGGCGGGGCGGGGGAGGGGGGTACTCTGCACTCCAGATGTCCTCACATAGCTGCTCCTTAACACGTGACAGCCAAGGCTGATTTGACACGACACCACCACCACACAATAAACGCTCCTTCACCCCACCCTATGACAGACACTGGCCCACAATCTTCAGTGATGCGCCACTTTCTAGAGTCCCTGAAAACTGGGACATGCAGAAACAGTAAAAGGATTGGGGAAGAAGAGAGCCACCCCTGTCCACCAAGTGGCCCATTCCAACCTGCCCTGCCCCAATTTTCAGACTTTTTTTTTTTTTTTGGACAAAGGAAGGAGACAGCCATAGAGGAGATGACACCGTGGTGACATTTTCTGAGAGAAAGGAGAAGAGCTAGTGTCGCAGAGGAGGAGGGTGTTTTAAGAAGAGGCAGATTTGAAAGGTGTCAGGAAACTTCAAATGGGGTGAGGTCCCAGTAAAGGCCATTAGGTTTGGGAATTAGGACTTCGATGGCTGCCCTAGGGAGAGCAATGGATGATGAGTTCAGGGTCCTCTGACTCAAAAGCCCCGTACACATTCCCTTTTTATTAAATACTATGGATATTGTAATTTCTTACCTCCTGGAATGCAAAAATTGGACTGCTTTTGTTTTTTTCACACTCAGAAATATTGCTATCAGATGAAAACGTGTAGTTGCCAGTTTCTTCCCATATTCTCCGGTAAACATATTGCGTTGTCAGCGGACTGGTCAAAGTCATAGCAAATGCACTAAGGAAAATGGCAGGTTCTACAAATAAAATCTTCATATTGCCTGGGTAGGTAGCTGTATTCTATAAAAAGTGAAAACGGAGAAAGATCATCTGTCTCATCCCAGAGGCTAGATATTCAAAGATGGGGAAGTTTGAGCAATTTCGTGGAGTAAATGTTTAAACAAGCAAACCAGAGAACAGAAAAGGCAGTAAGCACTTTCTCAGAGAATAACTTTTACTCTGGAGTAGAGTACTCTGTAGCAACCTGACGCTGCCGTGCTTTCCATTTTTATGATTACGACATTGTAGGACTCCAGCCGCCTTTGAGTCTTTGAAATAATAAATTGTCACCATCTTGGTTAGCCAATGATCACAGTACAGTTCCCACACTGTATACGGCCAACTGTTTTTTCATAAGTTCAACAATGAGGTTCCTTTTGGGAAGCCACAGTTGCACAACTGTTATTGTTATTTTGCTGCGTGTTAACAACGGACAGGGAGGGGGCGTTTTAAAAAGCAGCTCCCAATCAGAAGGGCCTTATTTTTAACTCACCCCACGATTACCGTCTTCCTGCCAGGCTGGGCTCAGGTCGGGCCGTGCGCGGGGCTGTCGCCTCGGATGCCCTGCGCTCGCGCGCGCCCGGGTTCAAGGGCAGCCTCTGGACTGGGGCAACGGAGGACGCGCCGGGGACAGTAACCTCGGGCTGCGCGGCCGGCGCTGGGGTGGGGAGGGGACTTTCCCGTTGAACTCGACCAAATTACCCTTGTCGGGGAGTCTCAAGCGTATTGTAAAGCAAACCACGGCAAGCGCACTTCCGCGTCCCGAGTGACACCTGCACGGTTCCCCGCGCAGCCCTCGGCTTCCTCGCGGCTCCGCGGACTTGGCCTCAGCGCGGCGGGGTGGGGCACGCGGCGGCCGCTCCTTCTGCGCAGTGGACAGTTGGCCGATCGGTGCCTCTGTCGGTCGGTCCGCGGCCCGGCCAGCGCTCGGCGGTGACTCGGCCGCAGCCCGCTGAGCATCGCTGTCCGCCCAGGAGGCGGGGTCGGCTGCCGCGGCGCTGTCACTGTTCTACCCGGGTCTCCTGCGATTGGGCCCAGCAGCCGGTGCCCCAGCGGCGATTGGTCCACCCCGACGTCACTCTCCCCCGGAGAGTGGCTAGTGGATCGTGCACCCACCCTCGGAGGTCCGGAGTGGATCCCGCGCGGCGGAGCAGCCACTCATCACCGCTGTTGGGTGCTGGGCCGCGCCGCAGGCTCAGCGGCTCTGGAGTTGCAAAGCGTTTCTGAATCCGAATAGCGTTTCTCATATAAACACATAAAATAACTGTTGCAAAAGTAACATGTTTGGGTTGTAGCCCCCCCTCAGGATCCCGGTGGGCCGGGCAGGTGCCCGCAGAAGAGGGGAAGGGGCGCCGGTGGAGGGCATAGGAAAGAGAGTGTTCAATGCAGAGTTAGTGGAGGGTTGGAATGTGGTCGCTGGCTCTTCCTGGGGAGGGGGACTTGGGCAAATCGTTAAATTTTCATGAACCTCCATGTCTTTATCTGCCATGTGAGGATAATAACAGTCTTACAGGGTTGTCTAAGTAAACACTCAGCAGGTATACACAACATAACCCCTGGACATAGGAGGAGCTGTCAGTGCTCTCCAATAAACCCACCAAGAACACGCTTGTAGTGAAAGAATTGAGCTATTACTTCTTGAAGCCAGGAGGAATGCATGCGTGAGGAACCGTGGGGGCACCTCAGTAAGAAGGTGTTAGATTTTACTATGGGCTTGTGTTATGTGATTTTGGGAAGAGTTCAAGAAAGCAAGGCCTTACTCTGGATTGGTTGCTGTCAGGAAGTGGCAGTAATTCTATGATTGGGTATCTTAATAAGTCTTATTTGAAAGGAGTCAAGACTAGACAGAGGCTAACGCCATGAATGATAAAGAAGCAGCAGTCACACATATTTGTCATTTTTGTGGTTTAGACAATGCCTAAATTTTGTCCGTGTTCAGACAAAATTACGACGTGGTCTTGTTTTTGTTTTGATCATGGTTACAGAATGCTCTTGTCTGACTTTGGTGTTCTGTGAAATTGTTTTCATTAGACAGAACACCATGGTCCAGAAAAGTTCTTAGCAACACCAAGGCCCAGCTGATAGTTCCAGCACCTGGATGTCGGAGCTGCTTTCTCTTCCTCAGCACTCCTTAAATGACAGTTATGTCACTGAATGTAGAGTTAAACGTCTTTGGTTTGAGTCCTAATTGCTACTTAGTAGCTGGTAGCCTTGGACTTGCCACTTAATCTTACTTCTCAGCTTCTTCAAATCAGCATTTATGAAGCACTTGTTATGAGTTTCAAACAATGGAGCATGAATATTGGAAAGAAGATATACAAACACGAGTAAGATATAGTTTGCAAGGAAGACATAATATTTTACATTGCAGTACTTTGTGCTAAGAACTAGATTATTTTAAATGGCACTTAGAAGATATCCTTTTTTTTTTTTTTTTTGAGGTGGAGTCTCGCTCTGTCTCCCAGGCCGGAGTGCAGTGACAGGATCTTGGCTCACTGCAACCTCCGCCTTCCGGATTCAAGCAATTATCCTGCCTCAGCCTCCTGAGTAGCTGGGGTTACAGGCGTGCGCCACCATGCCCGGCTAATTTTTGTATTTTTAGTAGAGGCAGGGTTTCACCATGTTGACCAGGATGATCTTGAACTCCTGACCACAGGTGACCTGCCCGCCTCAGCCTCCCAAAGTGCTGGGATTACAGGCATGTGCCACTGCACCTGGCTGAAGATGTCCTTTCTTATGGGGCAAAAATAATTAGTGTCCAATATACTTCCACGCTTTGCATTCCTACTCTTCCACATGAAGAAGAAAGCCAGGTCTTCTTAATGAGTTCTGCTGCTGATCTCCATGGTGACAATAGTCATTATGGAAGCCTTTTTTTCCCAAGTAATATTAAGTGCTTCAGTATGTATTAAAGAAGCTTGACTCTTAATTGTCACTCTATTGGGCACAGTGGAGTAAAAACAATTCTAAAACCAAGTATATGGAAACCATCAAGACCTGTCACTCCCGTTTCTGCACAGCTATTGTTGCTCCTCACAGACTCCCACTCCAGTCTTCTTCCTTCAAAGACTCTGAGAGAAGAAATAAAACATAAAAGCAAGTGTGCAAGGGGCAGTGGCCATTCACCAGGCATAATCTCCCTGGCCGTGTTTCTGAAATGTAGATCAAGAGGTGTATTCTTCGGGAAAGGGGTCTCCAGGATTTTGAAATCTTATGTTTTCATTTAAATGACCTAGAAATTTTAATGTTAGCATATTATGAATTGTGTTGTAATCAAGTACTGACATTTTATTTCAGTGTCTATATTTGTATTTCTGCTTATGGTCACATTGGCTCCAAGCAGCCGTACCTAAATGATGTCTGACTAATGAGAAAATAAGTGGACTAAATATGTAAATGAAATGCCCAAACTAAGTGAAGTCCAAACAATGTCATATCATGCTCTTCAAGAGAAGTTTCCATAGTATTCCAATAAGAGGTATGGATGGGAGACTTAAGTCATCGCCTTACACACAAATAGACATACTGAACTCAGAAGAACACATACTGTGCTGGGCAGTGCCATGGTCAAGTGGCAAAAGCCAAAATGGAATAGAGTAGCTATGAGATTTTGTTGGTCTCAAGAAGAAAGTGACTTGTTTACTTCTGATCAAATCAGCAAAGTAAGATGTGATGAAAAGACTTCAGTTATACCAATTACTGCTTAGTAGATGATTGTCAAAATGGCTCTGATAAGAGTAATGTGATACAACTCCAAGCACAAATTGTTGAAGGGAAATGTGATCTAATCATATGACCTTAGTCAATAAGTTTCCAAAATAGGCCTCAGTAGGTCTTATCTACTTGAGAATTTCATAACCTGATGTCAGCCTTGTCTTTCTTGACCTCTGTTGCTTTGGACACTGTGAAATAGATTCCTCCCTCTGGAAATATTTTCCCTCTTTGGGTTCCGTAACCTGGCTGTCTTCCTGCTTCCCTGAGAGCTCCACCTCGGTTTCCTCTGTGAGCTTGCTTCTCAGATGGTGCTGTGCCTCAGGCCCTATCTCAGCTCTGACCTCTTCCCAGTCAATTTCTTACGCACTTAAGATCAGCTACCACAAATATGACCATTTCCAAATCTCTTATTTCAAGCCTACCCTCTTCTCTTGAACTTAACACCCAGAACTTCCTTTAATTTGTATTAAAAACAAAAGCAAAAAACAAAAACAAAAAAACCCAAACCCCACAAAACTGTATACTTTAAATGTATAAAGCAGATATCATCTTCCTCATACATCTGATACCCTCTTATAATCTTTGTTTCAGTCAGTAACATCACCTGTCCAGTTAACAGATATGGAGACTTAGGACTCATCCCTGACTTTTTGATCATTAAATGCATTGCAAATATTTTACATCATAAATAGAATTAATATTATCTATACCTTTTTCAGGTGTGTGGCTGTAAGGAAAGCAGGTCCCTGGTTTAGTAGCATTCAGACTGAACATCTCTTTTTTGGCTTGGCTGAGGTGATGGGCTCTGTCTTGCTATTGGTCTATTGCTGAGTGGCATTTGAAAGTTGCTGGAGAGGTGAACAAAATGCAAAGCGATCAAGGAGTTCTCTTGTAAATCAGAACTCCTGACCCTTTCCCTCTAAGGTCTCAAGTTATTACAACACTTCTGATGGCCTGCGATGGTCCTAAGAAGGCTCAGTTGTCAGAAATGTACAATAACAGCCCTCGAGGAGAAATCCACCATGTTGGTGGTGACGGTGGTGGTGGAGTTGGTGGCGGAGTTGAGGGAGGGTCAGTGAGGAACAGAATCATGTGATTGCACCACAACCTGATCTACCACCTTGGACCCTGGGGTTCGTTGAGAGAAATGGCTGATTAACTGTAAATGCAACTATCTGTCACTAGAGTTGTAACCAGGAATCCAGTGTCCCATGGTGTGGAGAACCCATTGCTACAACCTTTATGCCTGGGAGCTGAACATCTTGTTTCTGGTACCAGCCTCACCAGAGCAGTGGTTGGAACCTTAGGCAGAGTGACTAGACCTCTCAGTTTCTTTTCTGCACAATAATAGTAAACAGGACTACCTCATTTGCACTAAGCAAGCTCCTGGAGGATTTTACTTTTCAAGGAAGGAAGAGCTCAGAGAATGAAGAACGCACTTCTTACAAGCAATAGGATGGAAGCTCAAATTTGATTTGTCTGTGTAGTGACTTAAATTTGGCTTATTTCCGGCCTGGTGCGGTGGCTCATGCCTGTAATCCCAGCACTTTGGGAGGCCGAGGCGGGCGGATCACAAGGTCAGGAGATCGAGACCACCCTGGCTAATACAGTGAAACCCCGTCTCTACTAAAAATACAAAAAATTAGCCGGGCGTGGTGGCGGGCGCCTGTAGTCCCAGCTACTCGGGAGACTGAGGCAGGAGAATGGTGTGAACCCAGGAGGCGGAGGTTGCAGTGAGCCGAGATGGTGCCACTGCACTCCAGCCTGGGAGACAGAGCCAGACTTTGTCTCAGAAAAAAAAAAAAAAAAAAAATTTGGCTTATTTCCTATAGCAGCAGGTAAAAGCTCCTAGAACAGGGGATGGCAATTGGTGGGTATTCACTAATGCGTGGATTTGAATCTCACTCATGCTTAATCAGACGCACCTCGTACTATCTTTGAGAAACTATAAAGCACAACCTGGCCACCACTCCAAACTGACATTTCCCCTGCGGAAGAGTCAGTCCAACCTTAACGGGCTTGGGAATAGCAGGAAGAAAGGGTTTAAAGCCAGCGAGTAACTTAAAGTCCCATGCATGTGACTTCACAATACAGCCCTTGTTTAGAAGGTTAGCCCACCTGTTTCCACCTCCAGCTCCTTACCCTTACCCCAGGCCACCACTGTTTCTCACTTGCGTTGCTGCACTGTTTCCTACCTGGGCAATACAACATCT